GGAATGTATTATATCGTACGTTGAAACGCGATCGTTTATTTGTTTATTTATGACGCGTTAGTGCGATTTCCGAACGATTTACTTTTACGCGTCTTTGAAGCACACGAATATTAATTTTTTTCCAGAACGCGCGTTTCTCGTGGTGTCACATGCTCTCGCGCGCGGAACGAAACTCCAGACATTTTGGTCAAATCGAGTGTTGATTTTCTGTTTTTTTTTCTCACAGCCGAGATTTTTTCAAAACCCAATCCCGATAGTGTTTTGTATTCCAAATAGATTTCGATAAAAACGTAGAAAACTAAACATATAATATTTAATAGTTCAAAAGTAAACTGAATTGAATATCACGGTACTAGAGTAGTAGCAAGTAGTATACTACTATTAAATCAGCTAGCGTTCATTTGGTTTCAAATTTACAACAATAATAATAAGGTATATGCATGCCACTTACCCTGTGCTAAGATGACCCGATCAAGACCAGTCGTGAAACCTGAAATAATAATAACACAATTATATAATAATGTATTATTATATAGATAACTTATTTTATATTAATTACACTACACCACTCTATTCATGTCAAATTTGTTGCACGGCGTAATGTATAGGCAATATAGGTGCATTTGAGAGTTGAAGGTCATTAATCAATACAATATTCAATATCAATGTATACTGTTCTTCAGTATTATATTGTGCCCTATCAAGCTAAAGGGTAGTGAATTTTGCTATCGGTTCAAGAAAAAATAATATTTTTTTGTTTATTTACTATTATAGTTTGTAAAGTTATAGAAAAAACATTTGATTACAAATATGTTAGTTTAAGTATCGTATTTATTTCTAATTGCCATTCAGCTTAATAATATGTCAATTAGTGTATCCAATTGATGAAGTCTGATAAACTAAGTAAAATCAATATTATTCGAACTCACGACCAACCCAATATCCTGCCCCGTTCTGTTGTGCCTCGAAATAAAATTGGAAACGAAATAACGTTTTTTACATAAAAATGAGAACGATGAAATAAACGTATTTTATCATGGTAACGTTATCAATAAGTTTACTACATGCTTATAAATATTCGATTTGACATAAACAAACGATACGCAAACGTTGAGCTTAAAAAAATGCCCATACCAAGTTATTGTTTGTCTCGCCGCTTCTCCATTCCATCGCACGGGCTCCCCTATATTATCTTGCAAAAGTAACAAATTATTATGAATAATTTCTATACTATTATATGAACTTTAACTTTAAACAAATTGCATTAAATATTGTTTATACCTCATCCGTTCAGTTTATAACTACGTAAAGTTATACAACGAAATTCGACTTATAATAATATAATATTTAGACACTAACACGATTTGCTTTGGGTAATCCCAGTCAAAATGTTCGTTCTCATTCTCGTTAATTATTGGATATAATGTAGTATGGCAGCTAACGGATCTATACTTGATGCTTTGCAGTATAAATATGTATTTTAAATTAATGAAATTCACTTCACCTGGTCGTATACGATGATATTTGGTTATAGTTTTTTTTTATCTATATCAATAATCATTGATGTTGGTATAATACATAATATTAATATTATTGTTATTAATATGTTATTGCATGATGTATATTTTTCGAGCAGATTATAAATGCTTTTCAAATTAATTTCTCCGTGCTTATTGAAATTTTAAATTATAACTGATACAGTAATAATTAATAATCAATTAGTAGTATTAATCTGTGATCATTTGCATCATAATATGAATTTTGCATAACGCTTCGTAGTCTTTATTTGATTTAATATTTATTTAATTAATGTTATGATTAAATATCCGAATGTATTAATGTATATTATATATTGCATTGTATCACCATATTAAATACTATATGTATATATATGCTATTTACTGGGGTTAAAGTGTGTTATGCCATTCGAGATATTTGCAATATGTATTACAGTATTTCGGTACTTCCGGGGGGCGGGGGGTATTTACGGTTCAGATATTTGCAATATGTATTGTTAAATTGTTATAATACGCGACCAGAGTGGTAAGAGATTTACAATGCCGAGTTTTCTGAAAAGTTTGATTTATATTCTTTCAATGGGATTTTATTGTTGTTTTAACACTGCACCGAGCTGGTGGTCCGACTCAATATAAACGAGTGCATTCTAGGGGTTTTTGCTTTAGGTATTGCAACCACATGCATATAATATATAATATGTACCTATACGGGATGATTTACCAAGCATGTTCACCCCCTCTCAACACATTTTACCTTTGATAATGAATTCTGTTGTTTATTTAAATTTAAATTTTGACAATTTTTTCAAATTCTTGATATTTTTTTGAATTACTCAAGGATAGGTGTGATACAGACTTCAGGTTTTTAGATTAGAAGGGCGGCTTAGTACTGTAAATTATTAAGCGGAAAGTTTTTTTGTAATGTTGATGAGCATAAAATTGATGATGTACATGTTGACATAATACATAATCAAACGCGTCCTGCGACTGACTGACTCTTGTCAATTTAGATCCTCAACTGTGCTACCGCTATAATAGAGTCATTCTTTATTTGACAGTACTTCCGTATCACCAAGAAATAGTGTTTTAGAAAGAATTTTCCGTAATTGGCATTTCAAAGAGACTTCACCCAGTTACACAAAGATTTTGAGATTCACGATGGAAATCAAATTTTTTGTTTGTAAATGGTTGATATTGGTTACAGGTTATAATATTATAATATACAACATTAATATAAATCAGTATTTTTTAAATAAAAATGGTTGCCACTGGTTACATAAAATCAAATTGTTATTGGCATTGGATATCATTTTAACCTGTATTTGATACTTGGTCACAATATTTTTTAGTCAAGCTAATTAAAATTGTAATAGTATATTTTTTTATTTCCGCAAATAATTGGTTACAAGTAAGAAAAACAAATTACTTATTAGAAATAAATTATTTCGATTCACCAATTTAAAATTTAAAATTAAATATTTTCTTTTTAATATATTTTTAAATTGTTGAACACCAGAACAAAGTATATTTAATTATGAATTAACAAAGTTTGAATCATACATTAAATTATAGTCAGCTAGTTTAAAATAATAATTTAATATTATTCGTAAACTTCAAGATGGATTTCGGATCCAAACGCAGATCACAATACCCGTGTTTCGACCGGAAAATCCATCTGGAAATCGATAAAATAGTAAGCTCGATGGATATAACACTTGTGACGCACGTTTAGATTTTCATGACACCGCCGACGACGGCGACAGGTTAAGCTCCGTTCGGTAGTCAACCGAAATCGCCACGGGATATATCGATATGAATACACCATGTAAGTCGATTCACATATTGTCGTACGAGCTAATCGTTAATCGCCGTATGAGAGAATCATTAATAATTGAATGGTATCGCTCATCGTATTACATTATTTATTTGAACGGTGCAGATTGCCAACTGAAAGGCGTACCACAATTTTTACCATCCTTCAACTTTTGCCGTCTGCCTGTCACCGCCATTGCAGAAGATGTACCTACATACACGTCATGATCATCGTCCGAGTTACAAGTGAGAGAACATTTTGCACTTAACGATTGCCGCGCACAACACATCTCGTTCGGAATAAAAATAAATAAATAAAAATCACCACCCGCGCCTGTCTCTTGTCGAACGCGTATAAAAAAGAAAAAAGGTCAACAGCAGCTTGGGCTGCCGACCTGAAACGGACGGCGACGCGTTAAATCGTTGAATGTGCCTACGACGATTGTACAATGTAGGTATATGCATAATAAAATTATAGCCTAAGGTATATCGTGTATACGTATGGCAGTGTGAGATATTGTGTTCGTGACGCGCGTGTGTCTGAAGAGCTTTTTTCAAAATACAACTCGTACGCAGAAGTGTTCGCACTACAAAGGTACAATATTGAGGAGGTATACATCGAGAAGGGTAAGAAATCGAAATCGGATTCCACGAACTCGGGTAAACGCCGAGTGTTTCGGAGAGCCGTAGCGCGAGTTGCAGCGGCCGTACATGTTTTCGCCCAAAACCAACATTCTGGTTTCCGCTCAAACTGCCTTTTTAAAATTAATTCAAAAAAGAGCGATTTGGTTTTCGCCCAAAAAAATATAGTTCATACTAAATGAAAAAAAACATTTTGGTCAATACTGTTCACCAATAGAAAAAAAACATCAAAATGCTGAATGCATACGTACAAAACTCCAGATTCAATTTCTCCAGATTTAATAAAATAAAATTATATACATCGTTATCACGCCGATGAATCAGTTAAGTTATAATCGAAAATGTATGTATACAATTCAAGATAAAATTACAAGCCGCAGTTGTGCCGATACAACAGACGAGTTCTGATAAGGTGTAATAATTCAGTTACAATTTATTTGAATAGACTTTACATACAACTTAAAATGGCCGTAATTTTAGTAAGTAAAGTAGGAAAAAGATTATTGCTTTCAATGACTAAAAGTATAATTTGGTTCAGAAAATATTACACTTCCATTTTTTTAATTATTGAACCAATCAAGATATTTCCATTGTGTAGAGCTTATTTTGCTGAAAATGTTGACCTTTCGACATCTTATTTTCATGATTTTTTTAGTTTATAGGTGAAATGGCAAAAAACCGGTTTTTGCCCGGCGGCGAATTCCCGGCATTTATCTCTAAGGCTAATGGGTATATTCTCACGGGACACCCTTATACTGCTACTTTTTTTTTTTTCCGTTTGAACCGACAGCAGAGGAGAATCTGTGTAAACACTACTACTCCTACTATACTGCTACTTACCGGACGACAGTAGTCAGTAACCCACGGGCTTACTATTATTTCAATCATCATCAAAAAACAGGCAAGCTGAATACCCTGTTGTTAAATTATAACGGTTTGGATTTTTTTTTAAATACTATCTATAAATATAGGTACCTACAAAAAAAATTGTTGATAACATATTTTTTTTGACATGGAAAAATTGACTAGAAGAGAACCCCATCCACATCAAGTTAGCAGCACAACCATAACTGATATTTAACTTTTAATTTGCTTACATATTTTATTTTATGGATTTATCATATTTTATCATTATTCGTGGTGGATCAAGTCATTACAAAGTCCTTTTTAGGCATTGAGGAAGACATCCCAGGAGCGCGAAGAAATTCTCTAACTACTATTGCGAGTTAGGATGATTTAAAAATAGATAATAATAATAATTTCGATTTGAGTGATTTGTTTCTAACATGAATAAGGTACTCTGTGTACTCGTGCAAAGTTAATCCGTATAATATATATTCTCCCTCCTCCTTTCCTCACCAAAAACAAAAAAAATAATAAAATAAATCCTAGATAATCTACTGCACACAAGTCCGAGTGCACCGTGTAGGTGCATATAGGTATAGTGATAATTTATCAAAGACACTGGTGTGCAGACATAATATTTTGACGAAAATCAGTAATTTTTTCTCGGATGATC